ACCTAAGGAAGGAAAAGAGGGAACCAATAGTGGCGCCACAGGCTCGCCTGAAGAAAATGGAGGTGTCTCCAAAGAGGGTAACAGTCTGCCGAACCCATGGACACACCGTCGTCGTCTCCCCCCTGTGCCCCCACGGGAGGGCAGCACCAAACAGAATCTTCGGCTTTGCCCAAGGAAGAAGAGGACAATGATGATGAAGAAAGAGGCAGTAGTCCTCCTCCTGCCACCAGCCAAGAATCACCCACAGAGGACACTGAGCAACAAGCGAGTAGTGGGGCAACCACAGCACCCACCCAGCAGCAGCAACAGCAGCCTCCTTCAACCCCTATGGAATGCGAGGACCCTGCAGGAAGCCAAGACTCTCAGGTGAGTAAACTACTAAAGCCAGCTGTGGCCAGGCTTTGTTTAATGACCGACACACATCTTTCTGTTAACTGTGAGGTGTGTGACTGTGTGCCTTTGTTTTCAAAATTCGGAGTGCTATAAAGGAGTAGGAAAATAGCTGCACGGTTGTCACGGGGAAAAGAAGGGTGCAGATGGTGTCACCCAAACGTTCGTGTGTTTGTGGGGGTGAATTTGAGCTGCTTTGCCATAATTTGTAGCAGATCTCTTGCTCACACTCGCCTTTTTATGTGTGCACAGGTACACCTGTGTCATATTGAGTGCATATTTTCCTCAGTTTTTTCAAATAAACCAGTTGGTAGTGTGTGGTATCTTAGTGAGCTCCAATTTTGTATTGAGACTATGAACTAGCTCACCCAGCAAAGTATTTTATTAACTTTATGTTCTTTCACATTGTGAGGATAATGGTTTGTAGTCAGGAAAGACACTTATTTCTGCAATCCATGAAAGAACATGGTGCAGTGTGATAAGGGAGGGTAGTGAAATATAAAAGAGGGTGATAAGGGGACTGAACGAAGTACACTGCCCTTTGCACTGTGCTCACTGAATACCTGCTGTGAGGCTTTCACTACCTTTCGTCTTTCTGTACCTTCCATGGTACCTTAGTGGGCAAATGCGATGTGTTGCAAAGTTCGAATACGCATGTTTGATTCCGAATCACCACAGCTGTGTTTCACTGTGGGTGCAATGCAAGAACACTCCTGTAATTATATGTACACGACTGTTAAAAAACTATACAGTCAAAATAAATGTGTAGTCCCCCACAATGACATGCTCGTAATCATATTCTTTTGTCAAGTGAAATTCCAGAATTTTTTTTATATCGGCTTGTCTCTGTCAAATGATTTGTCTGTGTGGTGGCTTTTGAGCTCGAATCTCAGCTGAAAGGGACTGCAAACTCAAGTAATGTAATACTGGCCAGGTGACTACAATGCTCGTTTTCATGACCTAGAAAGCTCGCTTCTTTCTGTGTGGCTACTGAATGCCATTCACCTCTGTTATATTTGTGCTAGAACAAAAATGCATAATACGACCAAACTAGCTGTTTACTGGTCACGAAATTGTACATTATAGCTCTTGTAATGCATTGTAGTGTTTCTTTTTAGCCAAGAAACTTAGAGAAAAGCTGAATCAATAATTATTGACTGTCTAATAAGATCGTGCCATATTTGCTTTTTGCATGATGCCGGACTTACCGTGGGTTGCCTTTTGCAGGAAAGAAGTCATGGGACTTTTTCGGACCAAGAAAGCAGGACGCATCAAGTCATGCTCCTGAGTTAGCACCAGGCCAAGCGAAATTCCCAGGATAGCCATGGAATCACTCAATCAGGCGACACAAGAGATGAGCGGACCTCAGTAGACGTTATGTTTATTATGCCACCAACAACTTTTTTATTCTGGTGTTTGTAAGCTATTTTCGCCACGCTGCACTTGGTGCTAGATGTTTTATATATTTTTGAAAGCCTTTTTGTACGACACATGAGCAGCTTCTAGATTCATTTGCACGAGGCATCACGATTAATGTGCAGTATGACATGATGCAGCGACTGTGAAGGAATTTTATATACCGTGATAACAGCAAAAGCATGCTTTTTATCACTTTTTAATTTTTGCCCTCCCCGCCTTATGTGGTGAGCTGTTCCTAAGTAAGTAGCGAGATTGTGCATTTTTTTCCAAGACTGTGCCAGGAATGTGTACCAGATAAACGAGCATAGCATGTTGTAAATATCATTTTATATATTTTTGAAAGCCTTTTTGTACGACACATGAGCAGCTTCTAGATTCATTTGCACGAGGCATCACGATTAATGTACAGTATGACATGATGCAGCGACTATGAAGGAATTTTTATATACCGTGATAACAGCAAAGCATGCTTTTTATCACTTTTTAATTTTTGCCCTCCCCGCCTTATGTGGTGAGCTGTTTCTAAAGTAAGTAGCGAGATTGTGCATTTTTTCAAAACTGTGCAGGAATGTGTACCAGATAAACGAGCATAGCATGTTGTAAATATCATTTTAGTTACTCGTGACAGTTGCATGTTCAATTAAAAACTACCTGTGGTAACCCATTGCTGCATTCTGCATCTGATTTCTGTTCTGGGTTTTAAGCACAAGCATTGTACATAAATGCAGGCTTTGTGTGCTTTCAATAAGGGCCTTTAAAAAAGTTTGGGCAGACTGACCAAATAAGCGCAGCATGCAGCTAGCCATACTGAGCAAGAGCAACTAATGCAGCTGAGGGGCTGGATTTTTTTGTGTTATATAAGAAGAGAACATATACAATGAAAGGGGAAATAGCATGGGGAAATTAGTTTTCATTAAAATGTGGATGAAACGTCTTTCTACAGGCAGGATCTAAACTTTCATTTTCATGTAGTCCTTCCCTTTAGAACTGCTTTGACAGCTGTTGGTCAGTCATCAGCTTTCTTCAATGTGTATGTCTTTTTCTTTAACCATGGGAAATTCTGCACTCGCCACCCACGGACTCTGTAATAGGTACCACGATTCGGGGTGTCTATAAATCCCCGGAACACTTGAAAGCCCTGGAACTCTTGAAGTTGAGTATGTTGTCTAGGCACTGGAAACCACTGGAATGGTTTTTTTTTTAAACCTTTGACTTTCATAAGTAACGTGTAATTCGAGTAATAAAAGAAAGAGGTTTCAAGATTACCTGACCTATACTTTCTAAGGCGGATCGACATGGAACTGGTGAAATCTCAATTTATGAAATAGTGCATCATAGAACTCTGAATGTATAGCATCTGGAAGGGATATACTTGGAAGTTTATTGTGATGGTAATTCTAAATATAAAATGTTAGGCACAAGTACTACTTGGCTTCACTGTAATACATGCCCGTGTTGCAGTGAAGTATTATTAGGCAAATTCGTGATTATCAAACGCAACTAGGTCTTGCTTCATATCTTTGTGGCATATAATCCTCAGATTCAATGCCTTTTAATTTGCTCATGTGATAACAATAGAAAGCACAGTAGGCACAGCACATAATGCCACATGCGCATTGTGTAATATTCATTAACGGGGTTGTGCTCTGGAGCCAACAGACAGACTTGCCTGTTGGCTCCAGTACGCACCCTGTCATGAATTTTCAATAACAAGATTACATCTCCTCCAGACTCCTGGCTTTTTTTTTTACATTTTTAACACAAAAGTGCTTTATGCAGGGGTTCGCCATGGCTCTGCTGACGTATTTCTGTCACAGATATGACGTAAAATATTTACCAACACATTGCAAAGAAAAAAACGGGAAGGAAAAGTTCCGCAGCAGGACGTCAAACCAGCGACCTCACGCTCCTCAGCACGCGATGCTAACCACTAAGCCACGGAACGACCTTTTTCCAACTTGTCAACGGCAAGCCATTTATATACACCATGTACCGTTGGCAATACTCAAAGTTGAGCAACTATAGCACATTTTTGACATCAGTAGCGAAATGACCCGACAGGCGCGTGCGCTCTGAAGGTGCTCGTTGGCGCCATCCCACGTGTCGCTATGCATGCGTGTGGCCACATGGTGTGGTCAAAGTACGTATTGATGTTCTCTAGCCTGGTGGCCCCCTCGCTTATCTCGGGATTTGGGTGCTTTGTACCTTTTGCGCTTCCACCGCAAATTAGCTTGAAAGTTACAGTAGGTAAAGTGAACACGAATGTCACTTCGCTCGCCGCGTTTACGAAATTAGCATGCTGCTCGCACACCAAGTAAGAATTGTGACAGTTGTTCGTGCGCGTCCTGTGTATACCTGTGTGTTCACTTCGTGCATCTTTCTTTTTGTTTGAGCAGCATGCTTTAAGTGTTGAGCTGTGACAGTTTGTCCGCACTCGTTCTGTGCATGCTCATTTTGCGCATGCTTTGTGCTTGAGGTGTGCGCTACAAGTTTCGAGCTGCTTGCCGTTCTTTGCGTGAGATAGCAATTTGTTGTTGTAGCATTAATTCCTTCACCCTTGTGGCGAAACAACACAATGAATGCTCAACTATCACTAGGAGGACACGTCTCACTTTCGTGTTATACCGATTCCTAAATTCAACCACTTTTTTTTCTTTCTTTGCTTTTGCTCATTCAGCCTATCATTTAAAAACTCTCTGCCAACAGAGTCTATTCTTAGTGAGACTTGATGCTGAACTTGAAAACTTTGCATGCAACAATTTCAGAAGAGTTTGCTGGTGTGTCATGGTGCTAAAGCTCCATGGCTGGTGTGATAGGCATTGTAGTGAAGCATGCCTGAGTGCCTTTAGTGTGCAGGTTGCATAGATAAATTTTAAAACCAGTCACAGTAATTGTAATTCCTTTTGTTGCTTTTTAATATTGCAATCGCTGCTTATGTTTTGTGCAGAATGTACATGCAAGTCTATATATCAGGGTCAAATTTTAAATAAATGGTGGCACACAACAAAAATATGCCACATGATCGAGGCTGAGACGCATACAAAAGCTGTATTGTCCAAACTAATACTTTAAAAGCAGGTGCACGCACCTGTCATGCGCTTGTGAACGATTCGAGCTGCCCTCTCCACACTCCGATTGTGTTATGCTCTATGTGCTCCTGCAACAAAGGTGCAACAAGAATGAAACAGGAATAGAACAGCTTTACGGCTTTATTTGTGCACACTGCTATCAATTTACTACAGCTGATCACCTAGGCTCTGTGAAAGTTACTTTGATGGCTTCTTGGTGTCGGCAGGTGGTGTCTTAGGCTCCTCGATCATCCCGGACATAGCATTCATGCACCATGAAGCAGCTTGCTTTGAATATTCTGGCATGTTCAAGAGGTGCTTGAATGTGGCCTTGACACCTGCAGGACAGGGAAGGAAGGAAGGGCATCGTTCCGCACCTCTCAAACTTGTTAACTCCGTCTGAAAGTTACAAAATAGGCAGAGAGAGAGAGAGAGAAAAGCAAAGGAAAGGCAGGGAGATTAACCAGGTTGCACCCAGTTTGCTACTTTACCAAGGGGAAGGGGGGGAAAAATAGAGAAGAAAAAATAATGTGCTTGAATGCATAGCAGCCTGTACCAATCAAGCCTAGGAGGTCATAAAACTGAACTGTTGCAGGGTTCAAACAGGATGACTTCGACTGTCTTACATGAAGTAGACTACAATTCATGATGTCAAATAAGGCTTGCAAGGACTGGCTCCAAGGTACCCAGAACTTGCTGTGCACTTCGAGCTGATGGGCTTGTCCATCCACCAGCTTGGTGATAAGTGGGTGCTTTGTGCTTGCCAGTGGCCTCAACACAGCAATTGCAGAGGTATGGGAAGGGGAGGGTAGAACAACTGTAAGCACATGAAAAAGCCAACTCTTTGAGGTTGGGAGCAGACATATCACGCTTGCATGATTATGATGTTCCTCCAATTCTAATGTGCAGGTCTTTTTAAATTAGAAAAATCTGAGAAAGACAAAACTTGATGCTGATTTCACTTTTGGGTCCAGTGGTAATGTGCACAGACATTCGAGGGCTACATTTAGAAAGAAATAAAAATGAGAAGTTATAATCTTGCAAATATACTACTGTCTGTCTAGGTTTTTTATCATGGACATGGCAGTTCTTGGGACTTGTCTTAAGTTGTCCTGTGCCCTGTAAACTAGAATACTATACTTGAACTTTTATTGCCATCCTGTGGGAGCAACCTTCCTCTATAAGAAGTCTAGTACTGCAACATTGTGTAGAATTCTCTATCTGCTAGAAGGAATGACTTCCACCTAGGAGGAGTACTTCCCAGAGTCCTGCCACTTTGTATTTAATGACGTCCTTAAACCTTAGAAGAAAGAACTTGGAGCGACTACACCATGAATCATATTTAATTTTTGTAATGTAGGGAAGCACCTATTAAGCCATTATTCTTCCAAGAAGTGTTGTACTCTCTACATATCTGTAAGGCATTATGCGCACTCTATTGATGCTATGGCTGATGAATGATGGCCAAACCTTTTGTAATAGTTGGAAGCATTCAATGGCCCACTCGTTATGCAATTAATATTGTGTGACGCCTGGTTGTATGTTTACTCTTCTAAAATGCTATATTACACATGTTAACAAGATTACTTCTCAGACATGAAGTCTTCATATAGTCTGTTTAGATCACAGTCTCAAGCAGTAGCCAGGCTCGTGGTAGAATACTCGACTTCCACGCAGGGGGTCCAGCTTCAAACACCAATGTCTCTTGAATGTTTTTTTTTCCCTCATTTTGCTCTTTTATAATTTCACGCTATAGTAGTTACAAACACCGGTGGTGGTGGACAACTGCGGCCCCGAAAATGGCTGTTGCGATCTCGCAAGAGCACAACGGCTTTCACTTTAAAATGGGCTGCTAACAGGATCTCTCCTCCTTAAAGGTGACATCGTCCTCAATGATTGCCCCTTCCTATGCAATGTGAAGGCTCTTCACATACTCTAATCTTTTCTCTTCACATACTTGAGTCTTTTAACACTGGGCTTATGCATACCGTGTCAGTTAAGGTGACTATACAAAATTGAGGCTTCTACCACATTGCTGAGCTTCCACAGCAATTTTGTTATATGACACAAGGTCATGCGATGTCAGCCAGTGGTAGTACAACATTGCAGGATCTAAGAGCTTTAATTATTTTTGACTAATTACTTCTGAGGTATAACTTTTGGCATGTTCATTCAAAATAATTCAGTGGGCTGCAGTCTTTTTAACAGGATAACCACACTAAAGTTATGCAATGCAGAAATGAAGTATCCTCGAGTGCAATTGAATATGAATAGGACTCGTTAGTTGAGGTGTTTTTCCCGTGTAGACTCACAAAACAGTGGAATATGAGAAGTAGATATGCCTTAAAAGATGTTTGCAAAGAGGAGAGCACATCCACATTTACCGTCATTTCAGTAGTCCACTGCTTTTATGCCAAATTCTTTTCTGCTTGGTGCCTGGACCACAACCAGGAATTAAAAATAAATATGGCGCAACTTAGCGTATAGGAAATAATTATGTGTCGGATATCCTAGCTTAGTTACCATCTTGTCTGAAGTGTTGTAATTTGATCATCAATGTTCCCTACTAGGTAACTAATTTGTTGGAAACTCCAACACACGTCTTAACGCCTTGAGGTAAGGTGCGTGCATGGATAACGCATTCACGAAGCACAACTTGCCAAAGCGCAGTAGTACTTCACGGTGGGGTTGGTGGTGATGTAGGCTTTGATGTTTTCGGTAGTCTGCATACTATCGGCTTTTTGCGTCGCGTAGATTGCTCCGCCGAGAATGCTCAACTTCAGGCCACCCCTGCGAGAATTAAAGAAAAAATGTGCGGTACAGATATATCTCGATAGTGTATACAGGTATACAATGTTTACGATGTCATCGCACGGATTCGAAGGCGCTGTACAGTACGCCATACAAGCTTTTCTGTTACGAGTCCACAGACATCGAATAACAAAAACGAGTACTTCTATAACATCTTTCAGCAACAGAACACGCTTTACCGACAGATCAAGTTTCAGTTTTATTCCTTTAAGAGTAACTGAAGCGTTATACGTAGGTTTCGGGAAGAATTGAAAGTGCTGCCGCGAGTGCTCATTAAATAGAGTGACCAGGAATGTGGCTTACATTCTAAACATTGAAATGTCACAGAACCAACTTTGTACATTAGCTTTGCTCTGTAATATTGATCAAGGCCAGCTGAGAGATGAATCAAAATTGCTTAGGTACTTGACGACCATACTTCATGGCAGTGACTAGTTTGGCGTGCTTCCTTTATCGTTCAGGCTACTCAGGCCGGCGATTCTGGGGATGTACATGTTTATACTACAGTGTGCTTGGCATGAAGCGATGAAATACACTGCAAAAAGCAAAAGCCGGCGAAAGGACGAAGGGCAAGGCGAATAGTCACAGTACACCTATATACTACCATTTGGATAGACCAGCTACACTGTGCAACACGTAACCACAGCAACACCACCATTGTGCCCAGTGAATATGGCCGCCATGATGTCATTTCCTCCACACTTTTCACGTAGCGCACCTGCTGGGCATGCCCTCTTCTATCTTTCCTTCCTCCGTGCTGACCGCGCTTTTTAGGCGTAACCAAGGTCAATGCTGTAACCAAATGGTAGGGTTCTTTATTCTAGTATATAGGTGTTTTGTGCTGTAACCATAACTGTAATCGCGCCTTTGTGTAAACACATGCCACAGCCAGCCTCAGTGAATACAGGTCAGCCGCTTTACCAGCATCTTTGCAGTATTTATGTTAGCATGATCCGTGGATTTAGCCCTATTTCTTTACAATGAATGCAACTATTTTACTTCTGTTCTATTATTAGCACCTTTTACAGATTTCGTTCATTACTCTAACTAGCGTTGGCTCGCTACTGCAGCGGAAACGGTGCACGGGCGCAGCAAGCATGAGTCATTGACGTGCAGGAGCTACTTTTCATGGCAAGTCTTGTTACATAGCTAACATTTCCATCCTTCGGGCAGAGGTCACCACACTTGTCTAGAACACTCGAATGATGCGCTCCGAATCGCATCGTCGATCAGTGGCGTAGTAAGGGGGGGGTTTAACCCCCTTCCCTCCATCACTTACCGACCTTGTTTTTTCGTCCCTTCGCCTTGACATGATTTAGAAACTAAGCAGTGCTACTATCACAATATCATTCTTGGGCACTTCTACAGCGAAAATGTTTGAACACAGAAAAATGTGTTGTAGTGTTTGGCAAGGCTTTAGCACTCTGTGAGATTTTGGGCAGGAATCTCGACCGCGAGCATTTTAAGTTCACTCGGCGACGCGATTAATGCTGCAGCGGTGATCATGCTTGTGCCCGCCAGAACAGATTCGCCTACGATAATTTTCACTACGATAATTTTCACTTGGCTTTAATAGTAAAAGCAAGACACAGTTTGAAGGTCTGATAGGCCACGTTCAAGCATATTACAGTGTGGCTATTTGTACATGTGCTAAGATATACTCGAGCCAGAGAATAGCATTTTCATTGAACCTTCGCACGTTCTGCTAACATCTTAACACAAACGCACACATAGTACACGCACGCAATGGAATATTTGGTACCGAATTCGTTGTGTGCGAGTGTACAATATATCGATACATATCTTTACTATTCCCTAATGGCTTCAGGCACTCTGAAGTGGTGTCCAATGACGAAGGTGCAACATAGGCAAACATGCAGGCCAATCACAACCTTAAAAAGACCTACTAACATACTCATCATGTAACTTGTAAGCTGGTAAATAAAAAGGTGGTGGTCATAAACCTAAAGCATTGCAATGAGAAATTCAGTGTGAGCAGCTGTAGTGAGCACAAGTTTTATTGTTCAGCAGTGGGGTAAACAGCACTAGAATAAAGAACATAATGCTGAAAAATTATAAGACAAATTATATATATATATATATATATATATATATATATGTATATATATAAGGGAAAAAGTGTATACCTAAGAGCTTGTTTTTTCTGTGTTTTGACACTGTATTAATGAGATCTAACAGACAATAATGCCTAGGAATGTATAGGAGAAGTTATTAAAACAAATGGAATGTAAATAAGAAGAAAGAAAAGTGGGTGAAAAAATAACCAGCCGTGAGCAGGAATCGAATCTACGACCTTCGAATAACGCGTTCGATGCTCTAACCACTGAGCTATCACAGCGGCCTTCCCTCCATCCACTTTTTTGGGGTTTATATGTGAATTTAGAAGTGGGAGTGTCAGTCAGCGCCATCCGTAAGCCAAGCGGCGAGTGTGAAACACCCTTTTATGTGGATGTGTGGCGTCACGTAGCACGTGAACTTATTACCAGCAGGCAGCTGACCAATAGTTCCTCGTATACGAGGGACTATTGGCCAGGTACCTATTCACTAGGTGTGCAATGACTTCCGACTTTGATGAATCATTACGTGCAGAATTTTGCTTAATGTATTGTGCTTTGATTTCATGTTACTTTCGTCTAATAGGTGTTTAAGTAAGTTCCAGGTTCCTCATTTTTTCATCTGGCCATCTATGGAGTTGCAAACGTTATCTGACTGTTGCTTGGAGATGGTTTTGCAGTGCTTTTCTATCGCTCGATTGAGTTCGGCAATTTTCTTTCACAGCCTACGGTTTACCCTCTGGCTCTTTCATCACTTAAGTAGGGATTGTTTAGCTTCTATAAGGTGCGCTAGTCGGCTGTCCATTGTTTAGATCAGGAGATCTGTGAGCACCTCTTTAGTAGCGGCGCCAACGTCCTCCCTTCTCCTCAAGTACTTTTTCTCTGTGATAGGACCAAAAGTTTCAGTCCAATTTTGAGTCATTCAGATGTTATTTTACCATACTAAGATTGCCCATCATCGCCCATCACTATACTATACTATACTATACTATACTATATGCTATACTAACCTCACCTGTCACGATACTATACTGATGGCCGACTTCAGCCAAGGTAGGGAAGACGCAGGCTGAAAACCAGGCAGTAGGGAATTATGGCATCAGTACTAAATATGCCAGAGTGGAGTTATTAGTACAATTCACAGAGCGCAATAATTTACGAATCTTGAATACCTTCTACCGAGACTTGAAGAAGGAACGACAGAAACTGATATGTGAGAAGCCAATCAGTGAGCTAATGCTGAAAGGGAAAATACAGGAATTCAGAGTCTAACTTCAGAACAGATGATCGGCTCTTATCGAGGAAACCGGCCTTAGTGTTGATGCAATGAATGATAATCTTACGAGCATCATTACGAAGTGCACAGTAGAAGTTTAAGGTATGGTAGTTAGACAGGCCACTAGCAAGCTGTCCCAGGAGACGAAGAACCTCAATAAGAAACGTCAAAGCATGAAACCCTCAAAGACAACAAAGAAAATTGATGAATAAGTGTAAGGTATCTTATGTAAGAAAGTATAACATGGAGATAATTGTACATGCTCTGAAGAACGGAGAAAGCGTCAGAGCGGTGAAAAGAAAACTTGGGATAGGCTAAAACCAGATGCACCAAGGCACAAGAAAGGCAAAGTAACCACCAATATGGATAGTATAGTTAAAATAATGAACAAGTTTTTCAGAGACCTGTATCATAGCTGTAAGAACCACGACCATAATGTAAGAACTATTAGTATCCCAGATGACATCCGACCAGTAATGACAGAAGTAAGAAAAGCCTTGGAGGTAATGCAAAGAAGCAAATCTGCTGGTGATGATCAGATCTGCTGAAACAGGGAGGACAAATTGTGTTAGAAAAACTAGCCACCCTCTTTACAAAGTTTCTTCTGAGGGGTAGGGTATCAGAATCTAGGAAGAATGATAACACTATCGTAATCTATGAAAAAGGGGACGACAAAGACTTGGAAGAATTACAGGTCCATCAGCTTGCTCTACGACATATACAAGCTATTTACAAAGGTAATTGCTGAAAGAATTATTACAACATTAGAATTCAATCAACCAAAGGAACAAGCAGGATTTCGGACAGGCTACTCAAGAATCGACCACATTTTTACTATCAAACAGGTAATAGAGAAATGCTCAGAATACAGCCAACCACTACACATAGCCTTCATAGATTACAAGAAGGCATTTGATTCAGTATAAATATCAGTAGTCACGCAGACACCGGGGAATCAGGGCATCGACAAAGGGTATATAAACATCCCGGAAGAAATTTACAGAGGATCAACCGCCACCATAGTGCTCCATAAAGAAAGTGAGACTGTCAATAAAGAAGGGTGTAAGACAAGGCGATACAATCTCTCCAATGCTATTTAACAGGTGCTTACAGGAGGTTTTGAGAGGCCTAGAAGGGAGTTAGGGATATGAGTTAATGAAGAGTACCTTAATAACCTGCGCTTTGCCGATGAGATTGCATTGCTGAGCAACTCAAGGGATGAATTGCAGTTTATGATTACTGAATTAGACAAGGAGAGCAGAAAGATAGATCTTGAAATTTATCTCCAGAAAATTCAAGTAAGAAAATGAAAGCGCTTCGAAATAGGTAGCAGTGCACTTGAAGCAGTAAAAGAGTATGTCTACTTAGGACGGGTAGTAACCATGGAGCCGAACCACTAGATTGATGTAACAAGAAGAATAAGAATAGGGTGGAGCACATTTGGCAAGCATTCTCAAATCATGGCCGGTAAATTGCCGCTATTCCTCAATAGAAAAGTATATAACAGCTGCATTTTGGCGGTACTTACCTACGAAGCAGAAATCTGGATGCCTACAAAGAGGGTTCAGATAGGGTTAAATTGAGGATGACGCAGCGAACGACAGCATCGAAAATGATGGGTGTAACCCTAAGAGATAAGGAGAGAGCAGAGTAGATCAGGGAATAAAAATGTGTTAAGGACATCATAGTCCAAAGCAAGAAGAGGAAATGGGCAGGACATGTAGTGCAAAGGCAAGATAACTGCGCTGGTCATTGAGGATCACAAACTGGATTCCCAGAGAAGGCAAGCCAGTGAGGGGGAGACAGAAAGTTAGGTGGGCAGATGAGATAAGGAAGTTTATGGGTACACAGTGGCAGAAGCAAGCACAGGACCTAGTTCAATGGCGGAACATGGGAGAGGCCTTTGCCCTCTGGTGGGTGTAGTCAGGCTGCTGCTGCTGATGATGATGCTAATGATGTTGTTAGAGTCGTGTCATTGGCAATGTCAAGTTGAAAAATCTGATTTGGTTACTGGTATTTATGAAGTGCCCACTTTTTTTTGTTTTTTAGCATGCCTGGATTAAGATTTTCATGAGGACTATGTCTAGTGAAATTTTCATCTCGAACTAAATACGAGTATTTTTGTGATCGCCTGTGAATATACAATGAAATACTATTGATTATTATTGCTTTGCTGAAGTTATATGAAAAATGAAGCTTATATAGAGCTTGTATGATAATAAAAAATCTGGCTAAGGTA